CCTTAGCCCAAAATGAAATAATCTTGAGTGGCCTAATATGGCCCAAAAGGTCAAATGCTTCTAATTCCAAATTCACAGGCCCAAAACTATACTCCACAGTGGGCCACGGGGCCCAACAGTCCAACCCAGTCCCATAAGACCGAAAAGTCCAATATAGCCACTCTACATGCGTATGCGTGGCATACCTAGCACGTACGCCCAACGTACGCTGGCCTTGACCAAAACATAGAGTTGACCCGGTACTCTGCAGGGTGTACGCTTAGCGTACTGGCCAGCTTTCTTGGGACTTCATTTGTGACTTAATCCATTAAGTCTTTACGTCCAAAATGTAGATCCAGGTCCTTTAAGACCTTTTAATCCATAAAGTCACAAACTTTATGTGCTAGCATGCATGGTTGGGGCCAAAACATGATTTTTGGTCTTTTTAACAAGCTTTATGACCATCAAACACTTGCATGGTTGTGGCTTAACCATCAAGGTCTGATTGTTATGACTTATAGTGCCTCTAAGCACCCAAAAGGATAGCTATTATGGTATGAAATCATAAAGATGAAAGAAGCCTCAACAATGGAGTCCAAAAGTGACCTTAAACACTCCCATAAACAAATCTAAGCATACAATGGCCAAGTATGGAACTTGATACCTCAAAAGAGTCAGAAATGATGCCAATCTCCTGGATCTACAAGCTCTTGGTGGATCCTTGCTTCTTCTTCAAGCTCCTTTCTCTTCCAAAGCACCAAAACTACACCAAGGTACTCTCAAATGGCTTTCAAATCACAAAGATACACAAATAGGGGTTATGGTTTTTGTGGTGGCGGTATAGAGATGAGAGGGAGGCTGGACCAAAGGCATAAGATCCTTTTATAGGGGTCCAACCCTAAAAGTTAGCATTTTAGAAGCTGCACACGTACGTTGCACATACCCTTTGGTATGCTAGGCGTACGTGCATGGCCTCCCCGCCCCAACCTCTTGAGTACGTTGTGCGTACCAGGCATGGTACGCCCCGCGTATTGCCTTTCTTAGCCTAAAACATAAGGCCGAACAATCCTGGCCCAAACCAACAATAGCCCATTAATCAATAAAATAAATAATAATAATACCTACAAATCCTGGATGTTACAAATCTCCCCCACTTGAATTAGACTTCGTCCTCGAAGTTTGTTGCTGCTGCTGAAAATAACTCGGGGTAGTGCTCCTTCATCTCGTCCTCCGGCTCCCACATCCATTCCGAACCCTTGCGGTGCTGCCACTGCACGTTCACCAGATCTACCTCCTTGTTCCTCAACACCTTCATCTTCCTATCTAGAATGGTTATCAGTCGCTCGATGTAGTTCAGACTGTCATCCACCTGAATATCCTCGAGAGGTACCACCGCCGAGTCGTCTACCAGGCACTTCCACAGCTGGGAGATATGGAAAGTACTGTGAATCTGGGTAAGCTCGGCTGGTAGATCCAGCCTATACGCCACCTTGTCCACTAGGGCTGCAACTCTGAAAGGGACAACGTACCTGGGGCCTAACTTGCCTCACTTCCTAAATCGGAGGACACCTTTCCAAGGTGACACCTTCAGGAGAACCATATCCCTGATGGGTTTTGAGCATTCTAACACTCATATGGTGTATGTGCAACCCTAGAAACCTTGGATCTATGTTTTCTCCAATATTCATGCAAATTTGATTTTTCCAAGGTTCTTATCCTAACTAGCATGGCATGGGTACTTGTAATATAAAAGCTAGTAGAATGACATACCTTTCTTGTAGCTTGGATTCCTTAAGAACTTGTGAGCCTAGCACCCCAAATGTGATGCCTCAAATGGTTCACACAACACCGCAACTCTTGGAATAACTTTAGAGAAGAACACTTTCACTCAAAATCGGCTAGCCCTCCTTGTTCTTGTCTTAGTGGCCGATTTTGCTTACCACGAGGTTCTTTATATAGTGTGTCACATGTAGGGTTACACCATGTAAACCCTAAAGTGCATAGCTTTTCATTTCCCCCCATGATCTATGGGTTTTAACCTCCATGGAGCATCCATGGAGCACCCAATGGGTCCTAGCTCAATCTAGTGAATCATGGACCTTAAGCCTACTATATAAGAATGAATGATTTACATAATCAATCGTGACATATTTAATTAGTCTCTTTTGATCACAACATTAATTCCAAATTAATTCTTGATCAATACTAATTAAATAATATGATATCATATTAATATGTTAGAACTTATAATATATTAACAAAACACAAGTGTCCTTATTCTCATTTTATCTATCCAGTTGTTGAGATGTCATGCAACCCAAATGGACCATGCCAAGCCGGGTCAAGTACATACTAAATATAGTTATGGAATTAGACACCTTATCCAATAGTCTCCCACTTGGATAAGTCTAATAACTATAGTTACAAGTATGACTTCAGGATTCGACTAGCAATTGTAGCACTTTCAAAGTCTCGCGGAACTAAGATGACCTGCCATTTAAGATAAGTGATCATATAATCCTCTATTCTAGATATCATCCGGAAAAATACATGAACAATGTCGTACTTATTGTCCAGAAGTTTGTTTCCCGATTTCCGATTTGTTTGACATAGAACTAAACTGAACACATCAATTTGGTTCTGACCGGGCCCGGTACATAGGTCAAAACAAAACCATCGAGGGGCCCAAATACCGCTTTTAATCCTCCGAGGATTAAAAGGAACATATAAACTTCGAATAATATGCTTGTACTAACTACTTGTTGAATCATACACAAAAGCACGTTTTATAACATCGAGTTACCGATGCATTTTCGTACAATCAATGCACAACCAACTCATAATCAACAACTCATATCTCTAGGTTTGAAGAGTTATATGTTATTACCGTCTCACGATCACTCGAGATAAATTCCATGAAGTGATACAAGTGAACATGGGTTAAATCCAATACTTCGAACTTATGAGCACTTATGAATGTTGTAGCAACTTTTTCTATGTCTAACATCTTAGACATCTACAAGCTCAATTCATGGCAGTCTTGATTCATACCTACTTCCAACATATGACTGATTGTGGAGAGTTTGAATAAAGTAATTATTCTGGAAGTCCAAACATGCAAAATTGAAACAGTAGTAAACAATTGACAGAAGATAGCAATACTTTACTTACAAATAAACAATAACTTTTATTTAATCATCAAATGTCAATTGGAATGAATAGACGAATGAAAATTACTATAACTTTTTTTGAAGAAGCAAAAGACGAATATTTCACACTATCATTAATGCATGTAAAGAATACACATGTGAATCTACTCAAAGTAACGAATCGAGCTTGGTCCAGTTTAAGAGAGAGAATGTGACATTAAACCTAAAACATTTGTTTAAACCTTGGAATGATGGCTCAATGAAGGATAACGTAGGAATGAATAGCTTTAGGAAGGATAAGTTAAGGAATGATAACTTTAGTAAGGATAAGGAATGATACTTTTATGGAATGATAACTTTTTTTTAAGGGAAAATGACTTGTAAGGGTAATGATGTTTTACCCATGTTCACATTATACCATTAATGTTTTTTTTAACAAAAAATACCATTAAAATGTGTTTCCTGTACATATTTTACCATTGGTAACCGGATACAGTAGGTATCCCGGTATTTTTTTTTATTTTTAAAAAAAAAAATTTATGTGGAAAATACGTAGCTCACCCCTCTCTCAATTAAACACCCTCACCCTCAGTTAAACACTCTCAAAGCACGATTTCTTCTTCACTCTTCAAGACTGTAGCAGCTTTCTCAAATCCATGGCTTCCTCCTCTACGTACAACTCCAGCACCATATCGAAGAAAATCAAGTCAAAATCGAAACTTGATTTTGCAAATCCCTGTGATTGTGGCTACCCTTCTCGTATATGGATTTCAACGACCAAAGATAATCCTGGAAAAGAGTTTAGGGTTTGCCCTAATTCAACGGTATGTTGGGTTTAATCTATATGTAGTAAGGTCTTTTCAATAATTTTCGTATATTTGTTTTAGGATAACCCAAAAATTAAATGCAAATTCTGGGAATGGGTTAATGAAGAAGATATAGTCAACAAGAAGAAAAAAGATGAAGTGGGAGCACAATCCTGTGAAGTAAGGGCACAATCTTGTGAAGTGAGGATTGCAATTATGGACCATGATTTCAATATTTACAAAAAGAAGACAGATGAAGAATTTGATAAGATAATTAGAAAAATTAGCAGTCTCAAAATATATGTAATTGTGTTGTTTATGTTGTTTGTAGTATCACTTTTAAGGGCATAAATGTCAAATTGTAATCGGATATTATGGTTGTTTTGCTGAATATGATTGAATGAACATGTTTTGCTGAATATGATTGAATGGACATGTTTTGCTTAAGTTTGAATATGATTTAATCTTAAGTACAAACAACATTGAATGAGCATTCATGCATTGTCTTGTTAGGGTAATAATGTGCAGAATGTTACCCCTGTACAAACAACTTTGCAGAATTTTACCCCTTAATGTGCAGAAGGGCATAATGGTCAAAATGAAGGAATCCTAAGAGCATAATGGTCAAAAAGAATCTTATGTAAAAGCAACTTTGCAAACAACTTTGCAGAATCTTATGTTTGAATATGATTTTATGTGAATAATGGTAAAAAAAATAATATGAAGGGCATAATGGTCAAAAACAAGGAATCATATGTAAAAGCAACATTGAACGATGTAGATTATATTTAAAGGGTAATAACAAACAAAAGCACAGTTTTTAATGTGCATATTTACATCAAAAGACAAGCATAGTTTTTAGCAAAAGACAAGCATAGTAATTTCTGCCTTAAACAAACAAAAGCATAGTTTTTAATGTGCAGATTTACATCAAAGGGAATTATTCCAGTGTAACAGGTTTATTCACACTTAAACCACATCCATCCTTGGTGATGACCACCCTCCTTAATGCCAATTCAGTGATCCTCTCTGAGTATTTCCTTTTCCTCTTCAATGGTTGTGCTCTTTATTCAACTTCAACAACGGGTTGTGCAGCAGGTTCCTCAACAACAGGTCTATGAACTTGTTCCTGATCAGGTTCATGAACTTGTTCCTGATCAGGTTCAAAAACAGCTTCAACAGCAGCTTCAACAATTTGTTCATCAACTTGTCCTTGATCAGGTTCATCACCATCTTTAGCCAGCTCTTCAATCTCAGATTCAAACTCAGATTGATACTCATCTTCAACTTCAGCCATCTCTTCAATCTTAAATTCAGACTCATCCTCAACATTAGGAACATGTTTACCCTTCTTCTTTTTGGCTTTAGTACTTGGTCCTACATTAAAATTTATAATGCATTAATAGATAATAATACTTATATTTTTTTTGTAAATGAATGATACTTGATATGAAAAAAAACCTTTTTTGGACAGTGGACATGTTATTTTGTTGTGTCCTGGTTCTCTAGAGATGCTGCATTTTGTAATAGCCCCTTTCTTGCTAATAGTATGTCGACCTTCTTTTTCTGAAGCAGCCTTCTTCCTGTTGACTTTAGGTCTGCCAGGTAATCTTTTACGTTTCGGGGGCAACATAGGTTGACCTTCCCAAGATGGCCACATTTCACTTCCATTTAAAGGATTAATTGTATACTTATAGCAATTTCCAAACATTTCTGTTGTGAACCAAGTTGCCACATAGTCTTCCACATTCTAATTTAGATAACTAATAGCAGCCATGGCATGTATACATGGTATACCGCTTAGTTGCCATCCTCTACATGCACATGTTCTTTGGTTCAAGTACACAGCATAAACCTCATGTACTGACCTCACCTCAAATTGTTGCACTCCACTGGGAATTACATACCAATACCTATAAAATAAAGGAATATAGTATAAAATTAGTACTTGGGAATTACATGCCAATACCTATAAAATAAAGTATATATACCTTAGATGTTTCCTCTTGTCCACTATTTTCTTTCTAATAAATGGACATATGGCTAGATTCCATTTCTTATCTTCAATCTTTTACAATACATCCTATCCATCACAAACCTCCTAATTTCCTCTAACATTGTTATAATCGGCTTTTTCCTAGCATGCACAATTATAGCATTAAAAGATTCACAAATACCATTCTCAATGGCATCACAAGACCTATCCAATACAAAAAAAGCCCTAGACCAGGATTTTGGATCTCTTTCCATCAAGTGATCATATGCTTGTATATCAATCACCCTAATCTCTTTCATTATACCTTCAAACCTCTGCACAGTTGTGGCCTTTGCAGCCCTCCAAAAAAGCTTCCTATATGCAGCACCCTTAAATTTTTTCTTGAAATTAGCATAGACGTGCCTAGCACATTGCCTATGCTCAGCATCTGGTAATCTTTCTTTAACAGCCTCAATAAGACCCTAAACATGCAAGATAAACATAACATTAAGATAAATAAAACGGTAACCAATTAAAAAACAGTTAGGATAAATACCTTTTGTTGGTCAGAAAGTAAGGTTAATCTTGCGTTCCCATGTTAATGTCCTTAAGTAGTAAGTTTAGAAACCACTTCCAAGTTTCTTTGTTCTCAACTGCAACTACTGCCCAAGCAATGGGGTAAATATGGTTGTTAGCGTCTCTACTTACAGCTGAAAGAAGCTCACCTCTGCAAATACCTTTTAAAAAGCAACCATCTACACCTATAACCCTCCTGCATCCTTCAATCCAACCATCCTTTACACCTTTGATACAAACATACATCCTAGAAAAATAAATTGTGGAATCAGGCATTGTATCCGTCCCAATTTTCACTGTTGACCCTGGATTAGCTCTTAATATCTCAGCTCCATAACTCCATAATTTTTCATAATGTGTGTTCAAACTGCCTTCGATCTCATTAAGTGCAAACTTCTTTGCATTCCTGCATTGTCCAACACTAACCTTCACATTGAAAATTTCCCCAACTTTATCCCTCATTTCCCTGCAACTCATTTTGGGATTTTCTAAAATATCATTAACAAAATGTTTCCCTATCCATGAGTAAGAAACAACTGACCCAAACTTGAAGGTTCTAGCACAGTTATGCTCATTACGTAAGGACTTAATTTGGAATGACTTTTCACTGCTCATCCAAGTAGCCCATAGTCTAAAAGGACATGCTGCCTTTCCTTCACTAGTTTTACAACACCTGACTAGCAACCTAGTTTTATCATTTTTTTTCATACCAAAGGTTAAAACCGTTTGCTACTGCATAGTTTGAGATAAGCTGTTTAAGTTCTTGAGGGTTACAAAACCTCATACCAAGGATGGGTTGCATTGTATCCCATTTCTGAGTTGAGTCATGAAAAGGATAAATTGGGGCTTCTTTGGTTCCATTATCTGAATCATCATCCTCATCAACAAAATCATCTCTAGGGACAACACTAATATAGTTAAGAAAGGGATCATCAGATTTAGTCAATGGTATTACCTCTTCATCGGGTTCATGATCAACAGATAGAGCATCAGACATAACCGAGTCTTTATCTTCATCAGAGCTTTCACTATCAACACTTTTTTCTTCCTTTTCTTCCTCTATCCAGTCAAGCACCGAATCGTTGTAGTGATCAATATATACATTAATCTTTCCCTCGTTACCATGTGCAGCATCAAGAAACCTCCTGTAGTCATCCTCGTTTTTCAGTGGTGTCAACCATCACGCATTGACTTATGCCCAAGACAGTAGTAGACAACAGGACACTTCCCCTTTGTGACATCCTCAAGAACATAAATGAACTCTTTGAAATTTAATCCACCAAAATCGACATCTGTAATTGACGTTTTTTGATTCAGGTAGTATATAAGATGATGAATGGGGGAAAACATTCCATCGTAATGAACATCTACTTGAATGTAAGTTGATCCTTTTGCATTAGATGGACCAGCCATGATCGATCTCAAACAAACCTTCGACTGAGAAAACCCTACACAAAAATCTTGGTATGAGGGTGTTTAATCGTGCTTTGAGAGTGTTTAATTGAGGGTGAGGGTGTTTAATTGAGAGAGGGGTGAGCCACGTATTTTCCACATAATTTTTTTTTTTAAAAAAATAAATAAAATACCGGGATACCTATTGTATCCGGTTACCAATGGTAAAATATGTACAGGAAACACATTTTAATGGTATTTTTTGTTAAAAAAACGTTAATGGTATAGTGTGAACACGGGTAAAACATCATTACCCTTACAAGTCATTTTCCCTTTTTTTAATAAAGAATTAACATATCTTTGTACTTTTTATATTATTCTAAATATTTTTCATGTTTCCAAGATATAAGGAGATATGTCTTTGTTACTTTGCAATGAAATAATGTATTGTAGGTATATCAATTTGACATTAGGAATTGTAGGTTATAAATAGTAGTCTTCAAGCGGTCTCAATTGTAACAGTTTGTTTTCACTTCTAGTGAGGAGTAGAAAGTTATATCAATACTTTGTCCCTTTAATTATAGATAGTTTTCCATAATCACATAGCTCATAATTTGTGCATTTAATTATCTTTAATAATTAGCATATATACATATTGTGATTAAGTACATTAGATAGAAAAGGAATGACTTAAAAAATTTAACCCCGGAAAAACAACTTAACAACATGCTTTATGCAAGAGACACCTTTGTACAGTTGAGGATCACAGTAGAATACTAGAAAAGTGAGTATCAATCGATAAACCAAAACACAGGCCATTGACAAATTAATTACCCTTTCAGCGTCCATCCAACTTAGTGATTGTCAACATATTTTTGGATTGCGTATCTGTTTTATAGGAACTAGAGGAAGAGGAAGTAGCATTCTCCTTTCTTGCAATGAAGGCTGGTTCTTTTGGAGTTGGGAGTGTGACAATATCACCTCCAAGCATCAAAACAACTTTGGTCATGGTAGGACGATCATCAGGGTCTCCTTGTACACATAGGAGCCCAATATTTATACATTTCAATACCTCACTTGAATTGCATGATTCTATTAGTACTTTATCCATCAACTCAAATGGCTTATCTTCTCTCCATAAATTCCATGCCTGAGATATTTGTAGACATAAAGATATATAACTACTAATTAAATAATGTAGGTAGCAACTTCGAAGTTCTTATAGAACTTACATGTCCTAAAAGACTTAGACTTCTCTGTGATTGATAGAATCCTGTATTTTTTGTTCCACTTACAATCTCAAGCATCACTACTCCAAAGCTAAAAACATCCGATTTAACTGAGAATAGCCCATCTAGTGCGTACTCTGGAGACATATAGCCACTGAGAATCAAACAAACTATTGTTAACTAGAAGATCGAGCCCGATGTGTAAAGTTCTGGATCGACATAAACGGGGAAAATCCATATCAATTTTAAATTTGAAAGATAACCACTTCTATCTCATCAATATCAAGTTTGACTCTTGTTTAATATACAGGAGTGCTAATATTATCATACTTACAAGGTTCCGATAACTCTGTTGGTCATAGCTTCCATATCTTTACCTTTAACTATCTTGGCCAAGCCAAAATCTGAAATTTTTGGATTCATATCCTCATCTAACAAAATGTTACTTGTTTTCAAATCCCTGTGAATAACCCTTAACCTAGAATCATGGTGAAGATAGTTAAGTCCTCTAGCAATTCCCATAATGATTTCAAATCTCATTTTCCAGTCCAGTGATGCGCACAACGTTCCATCTTGCAAAGGAAATAATAAAGTTTCATATTAACTAGTTGTGTGCTATTTATACTGAACTGTCTATATGTTTACATATATAATTAAGCATATTAATAGAGAAATGAACTAACCAAATATAAATTTATCTAGGCTTCTATTTGGCATGTACTCATAAAGAAGAATCTGTTCTTCTCCCCTGATGCAATATCCCAATAGTCTAACAAGATTCCGATGCTGAAGTTTAGCAATAAGCATAACCTCATTTTTGAACTCTTGCAAACCTTGTCCAGAGAGGCTTGACAACCTCTTCACTGCAATTTCTTCGCCTCCAGGAAGCTTACCCTATAATAAAGTACTTATAATTGGTTGAACTGGAAGAAAATTAACTGAAAATATAGTTTCTTTGTTACCTTGTAAACAGGCCCAAAACCACCTTGTCCAAGCATATTTTTATCTGAAAAGTCATCAGTAGCAGCTATTATGCTTTCCAGCTCAAAATATGGCACATCAATGCCTTCTCTGTCATCTTCTTTTGAGTGGTCTGGATCGAGTAACTCCTTCATACGTCTCCGCATATCATTCGACTGCGATTCGTTGTTTTCTGTGCTTTCATGATAGGACAAGTGAAGGGTAAGCCTTAAATTCAGATTTTAAGTTTGAAATGATAAATAATTATACATAAAGCGTTTCAAAAAAAAAGTAATTGTGTCCATCTGCAGTGTGTATAATGACTTACCTCTTCTATTCATTAATCTTTTGTATAAAATATAGCTAATGCCACACAATGACAAAAGCAACAGCGTTGAAACAGTGATAACAATAGCAAGAACACGTTTCACAAATGATAATTTTTCTGTTGGCTTTGGCTCCGACTCGGGTGGTTGACTGATTATAGGTGCTGCATATGAAATGGCGCAATATGAGTTTATATAGAACACATACATACATACATACACACACACGTACGAACATGCACGCACACACACATCCACCCACACACCCATGCACCCATGCTCCTGCCATTTCAACAAGCTCATATGCCCTTAATTTGAAATGCAGAGATATATAATGATCTTTTTTTTTTTCTGCATCTTTCTTCTGCAATTGTAAATACTACGATAGCTAGATAGACTTATAGTTAGGAACATTAATGGTTTCTGTGCAAGAACGAAGGAAATACCTTTTGATAACTTAGAAACACGAAAGGAGATATTATGTGCACCGTTCTCTCTAAGATTATCCGGTGGAGAGTTCCAGAACCAGCAACCAGAGCTCTCCACATTGCGACTTTTATCCACTAAGCCTCGCAGCTCATTTTGAGAAATATAAGAATAAGCTAGGCACTGACACTTTTCAAGGCACATCTTCATGCATTCTGATTCATTATCTGATTCATGGAAGGGCACAGTTGTATCATCCATACTAATCATAGTTTTTGTCAGGAATGTGTCATTAGTTCCTGGAAGACAGATTTCAGACATTCTCTTGCATCCAGCGCTATAATCATCAGGTGAATTATAATTAGTAGGTTCAAATCCAGGTAAGCAACTACACATGACTGAGTCCTTATTTTTGCTGCAAATCCCAAATGAGCCACACACTTTATACACGCTACAGTTATCTTTGGGCTCTTGCCAATCCAAAACCCAATGATTTTCTTTTTGCCAACGAAGATATTGTATATGCCCTGTATGGTTGATTACCAACCTTGAGTAAGGATCGATCACCTGATAGGTTTCGTTATATACAATTCTGTCAGTATTCCCTGTGCAGTTAGACCTCACCAAACATCTTTTCTTATAATTACCACTTTTAATGATTGTTCGTGTGTCTGTGGTAGTGTTTGACAGCAACTGGAAGGCCTGAGAGAGAATTTGATTCTCATCAAAGCTTTTCGTAGACATGTTCCCACTTTTCCAACGAAATGTGGTTGGGACCTCCAAAATGAAGTATCGGTTTGTACCAGGGTCTTGCTGGAACTCGAAGCTTCCAGATCCTGGGTCTTCTGGACTTTTCCACGATGTCAACTTTAAGTTATCGACCATCTTCATTCCAGGAAGAAAAGTATCTGTTGGAGTTCGAAAGCTCTGCCATAGTATGCTTCCTGTTACAACGTTTATTAATACGGCATTTCCGTTATCCAGCAACTTCAGTGCCGTTGAAGAAGCTCCATCTGCATGGTGAAAATTGAAGGCATATATAATATCATGGAATAAATTGTATTAGATAGTCATCAATGTCTAGATCGTTAAAATTAATGTATCTAAATACACGAGAATGTTCAATTACCATGAACCACTAAGGATTTTGGAGGCCAAACATGCATGTGAAATGTGTTAACAATTAAGTTCAAGTGATTAATTAGTATGGTATTTTAGGGTAAATTCCACAACAAATGTACTTCTTACTGGGTCCTTTGAATTTTGACTCGGTTTTTGTGATATGTGTTTGTGTCGGTGAGAGCTTGACTCAATCATTAACTATCAAACATCTTACAAACTTTTACAAAACTAATTAATTTGTCCATCTGAATTTACCTGAAGTGTCTGTAGAGAAATATTCAACTCGTTTTTCATTTAACAGCTTAGCACTACCGTCTTCTGCAACAGTAAGAATTCCAGTGGAATCCAGCACTGGTGTATCACGGTTAGCAACCCACACAACAGTCTTTGGATCCATCGTATACCATATCCCCACATATCTTCTTACTTCTGCTGCTTTTCCATGCGGAAAGAAGCCCATTTGAAACTTCTTCCCAGAAGATTCTAAGTAATCAGGACCATCATTGATAAATTCCCCAGTCGTTATGTTGTCTTTAGCTGAAATACAGCAGCAACAACACACCAGAATTAATACATACAAGGAGATGATTTTTGTATTCGTGGCAGAAGATATCATGATAGTTTCTGAATGTTTAATTTGTACGAACTGTTTGATGAATCGTAATGATGCGATAGTGAGGACTTTGATGAGGTGCGTATGCAGAGAAGAAAGAACTCAATTATTTGTGTCAAAGTAATCGATTAAAAAGCACGTCCAACTTTACTATGGTGCCACTGGTTAGTGGTCTTTGTCGCTAATTAAAGATATGAGTGTTGGGTGTTGGTCAGGTATGTGATTGAATACCATCATTCCTATTCCACTAACTTTTACGAGAGATGGCTACATGCATGAAAACAAATTAATTAAGTTATTTTGACGAGCGTCAACGACCATTAGCGCTATAAGAAATGACATCAATAACTAATCTGTTATATTAAAATTAAATTTCAATCATTATGACGGTAAACCTACACCTGGATCTTTGCCCCAAAAAAGTTTATTGCAAAGAGACCCTTAAATATAGCGACAATATGTATTATTAATGAAAAGAAATTATAAGTGTATCATTGTTACCCTCTCTCTACTTGAGGTCCCTTAAATATAGCGACAATACGTGATAAATATAATTATTAATGAAAAGAAATTATAAGTGTATCATTGTTACCATCTCTCTACTTGAAGTCCCTTAAATATAGCGATAATATGTGATAAATATAATTATTAATGAAAAGAAATTATAAGTGTATCATTGTTACCCTCTCTCTACTTGAGGTCCTATACTCCTATGTGGGAATTAGATATAAGTAATTTAGGAATACATTTGTTGTTTAAAAAAATAAAGAAATAAATTTATATAATTTATTAAATAATTATTTGTCGCAGTATAAGCTATAGTGATGATCGCTTTAAGCCATTATTTTTTAAGGATATTATTTAAAATGATCAAAACTTAAATAAGAAAATTCATCAAATGACCAATAGAAATGGGTGGGTGGTTTGTAGGAAAACAACATTCCAGGTGTTGTTGAAGTCAAACACAAAATGATTTATATTAATTAAAATGAGTACGATAGTTTTGGATGTTGTAAGTTTTTGTGAAGGTACAGTCAAACACAATTCCGACTCGTGTTTGGAAAAATCCATAGATATTTATGAGATCAGGACAATGTGGGTTCCCTGAAGACATTTAAGTATACAGTGATCAGTTTTCAGTTTCCGTTTAAGGTGAGTTTTAAGTGCAGTTAATATTAGGCATTTACATTTTAAAGTGTTTATAATTATCGACAAATCATAACATTTTAAAGTTATACTAGGTATTTGTAACGTCCGTCCCATTTCTGGTATGTAATTTAAATAAAGTATCTTTCAATTTTTAAGGAGTACTCGAAAAGTCTGTAGCCCGACTCGTCGAGTTGAGATGGGATAATCGCGCAATTGGGGTTGGCCACTCGACGAGTCCATACGCTGGGACTCGGCGAGTCCGCCTGTCTGAATGAGATCCTAATTTTAAGGGTTTGTACCCTATTTAAATGTCATTATAGCCTCCCACCCCAACCTCCAGCGCCTTTAAAGCATTTCCCCTGTAAACCCTAGCCTTATTGTTGAGTTTGAGTGTGATTGTGTTAGCTTGGAAGCTTTGGAAGAGAAGGAAGCAGAGAAGGTCCATAGAAGAGAAAGGAGATCCAGGAGTTAGCTTCCATCTGTTTCTCATTCAGGTAATGAAGTTATGACCTTGTGCATTCCTCCATTTAAAACCCCCTTTTATGCTTGTCATGTCTTCTTTGGAACCTTTTATGATTCAAAACTGGAGATATGGACTCTCTTTTAGATGAAAACCTTAGATCTGGATGTTATGGAACCCCATGAACTCATTGGAACCACCTTTATGCAATCTTGGCCTTGTTCCAAACCCTAAGTGCTTAGTATTTGTGGATTTTGGGTATTTTAGCCTCATACTCTTGTGTATGCACGTAAAGTTGAAAACTTTACGTGCAAAACCAATCCTAGAAGCTCAGATCTATGTTTTGGAAGCACTGGAACCGATTAGAATCGACTGTGTAGTAATAGCATGCTTGGAACTCGACGAGTTGTTCTTCAGAATCGACGAGCTGTTCTTCAGACTAGACGAGTTGTTTTCAACTCGGTGAGTCACAGTCTGGACGTGTTCATATGTTGGAGGAGAACTCGACGAGTTGTTCATGCAACTCGGCAAGTTGGATGAAGTTAGACTTTATGTTTGCATCGAAGAAGAACTCATCGAGTCTTTGCTAAACTCGACGAGTAGAAGGGGGCAGAGGACTAGAATGGATGATAGGGACTCGGTGAATCTGGTCAATTGAAAGATGACTTTCACCAGGGGTAAAATAGTCATTTTACCCTAAGTGCGTTTATCAGTACCTGACCTAGTGTTTTGTGGGATTTGTAGCCAGACAGTTCCGGAGCAGCAGCCAGCCAGCGTTAGAGTTAGCATCTCAGCAGTTGTAACGCCTGTGTTTTTGGGCTTACCATTTTTAGCAATGTGATAGTCTAGCTTAACCTTTGTAACCCGTTTTGAAATAATAGAAGTGTATTATTTGAGTATTATGTGTTTTGTGCTTAATTGCTTAATTATGTGGTTTGATTAATTAAGAATAAAAATAAGCATCAAAATTTAAGTGTATAATAAACTTGATATCTTTATATAATGTTGTAGTAGTTGAAACAAGGTTTCCGATGGTATAAAGAATGCCGAAATCCGAGTTATAACGAAGAAGTTATGACCTGTCGAAGTTTCGCGACAGAAGCGGCACCGCTGAATAACGTAAAAAGTGAAATTTACGTTAGAGCGATATTTAGCCTTAGTGATCTAAACGAGAATCGAAGATCTCGTTGTTAGTATCAAAGCAATAAAAAGTTAGGCGAGAACGGACGTCAAACGAAGAAGTTATGAATTTATAACGAAATTTTCTGTCCCGGCCTATTAAAAATAAATAATAAAAATAAAGTCAAAATTAGCCAACGGAGTCTAAACGAAAGTTGTAGAGCGTAGTCTCACCTTCGCGTGGATATAAAGAACGTCGAAAACGGAGTTCGTATGAAGAAGATATGAATTTCCGAAGTTTATTAAATAATTTGTATTTAATTTTAATTGGAAAATCCGGCCTTATCCGAAGGCGAGTCACCGGACTCATCCGGAGTACGCCCCGCGTACGGCGAAGGATGTCGACACTCGCACTCGAGGACTTCGGATGACGCATGCAGTGACGTTTCGGAGGCAGTACGCCCCGCGTACTCCGAGGCATCAGCTTCCTATAAATAGGATGCGAGTCGATCGAGTTTCTTTGCTATTTTTCTCTATTCTCTCTCCCGTTTTGCCTCGATTTTCATGCCAGAAATACCCCGAAGCCTCGGTAATATTCCCGAGTCCCGAAGCAAGTCCCGAGATCCTGAAGATCCCGAGAAGTGCGGTTTCCGAGCCGAAGCTCTGCCCGCGAGAAGTTCGATTTTTGTAGAGATCTTCCAGATCTGTTGAGGATTACTACTTTTGCAAGTCGTAGTGCTGTCCGATCATCTTCTGATCAAGTGAGTGTATACTACCTTTCATAAACGCAATAATAATACAAGTATGGTTTGAGTTTATTAAGTATATTGTTGTTTATACGTGTGAGTGCGTTGTTACTTTCTCCTAACGTACAATTATGAAGTATTTTATACGAGATACGTGTTATGTGTATATTTTGTTGTTATGTGTGTGAATTTATATTCACTTTCTTCTATCTTACAGATCTGATTATTTCTATATGAAATACGTGTTATGTGTGTGTGCCTCATCTGTTATGTGGGAAATGTATTGATCAAGCATGCTATACAGGTTTTGAAAATATGTATAAAAATGTATGTTTTTATCTACTAATATGTTGGGTAGAACATGGGTAGACAGTTGGTGTGTAATAAACAGATGAGAGGCCTCTCTGTTGTTTTGATCCAGTCATCTAGCGTAATTTAGATAACGACCACGGACTTTTGTAGACAGTCTAGTGGAACGCTAGCAGGCTCATAACCTGTAGGTGTTAATGAACTTGGGTGTTCATTCGTTGTATTCCATCCCCCTCATGGTTGCCTTATTTGACTTATATTGCTGAGGAACCCCCGCAGCATGTGTTGTCACCCCGATGAAAATATTGTTAGATTAGGTCCCTTGTGTTAGTTATTTTAGGGACGTAAAGTGAGAATAACGGGAATGAGTAACCGGGTTATTGTTGGTTGATAATAATTAATTTAATTATTTATTGTGGGTTGAAAACCCTATATGCTCACCAGGCTCCCAAGTCTGACCCACTCAGTTTTATTTGTATTACAGGAAGTGGCGCAAGGGCGTAAGATGGATGAACCATCAAGTTGTTTTGTTACAAGTCTGTATATGTATATATTTGTTGAATGACTTGTAATGTTATCGTTTATGCTTAGTGGTCTGTATTGGAACATGACACCCCGAGTTTTGATTATATAAATGAAAAATACATTTCTTTTATGAAATGCTTTGGTAAACATTGTTTTATCATGTTTTGTTTTTGGGAACAAATTCTGCAATTCTTTCAAATCAAATGGATTTACTCTGACATTATTTTAAAAAGCATAAATGAAAATCGGTCTTTTCTAGCCGAGATTTTGGGGATGTCACAGCAGCCAGCGTTACAAGGTGAGTTTTCCCTTCCAGTAGGAATAGGTCTACAACCACAATGTCGACCCGTTTAGTTAGCAGTAGTTCCGGACTTCGGTCTGATGCAGTACTTCAGTGTGCTTGATGTCTTTGAGATTCAAGCATGTCTTTGTGTTATGTGTTCCGGACATCGGTCCGATGCAGTATGCAGTATATGTGTTTATGCCAGTTGATATGTCTATGCTATGCTATGTTATGCCCAGTCAGTTCCGAACTTCGGTCTGATGCAGTTAGTTCCGGACTTCGGTCCGATGCAGGGGACTCCCAGTTAGTTCCGTACTTCGGTCCGATGCAATTTCTGGACTTTGGTCCGATGCAGAGGGCAAGGCCCTGGTTAGTTCCAGACTTCGATCCGATGCAGTTTCCGGACTACGGTCCGATGCAGTGGGTAGGCCCAATAGTTGTTATGTGTAATTGTATGGTATGTGGTAGTTTGGAGGAGCTCACTAAGCTTCGTACTTACACTTTTATTTTTGGTTTCAGGTACTTCCGCAAGCAAAGGGAAGAGCTCAGGTTGATGACATCACACATACCACAACTTCAGTTTATCATGAGAGTTTATTTTTGGATGTTACTATGATTGATACAGATTTGTTTGACACAATACTAT